GCGGCTCATCACACCAGAATCCCACGGGATCCCTTGCCGGTGAGGTGTCGTGTGACAGGATGCTACCAGCTTTCTTCACATGTTCCATGATGACTCCTGCGGGTGGCAATGCTTCCTATAGGAATCCTGCGGTTTTCCAAAATCCTAGGATCGCGTCCATGACCATCCAAGCCCAAGCAAGCGGCGCGTGGACCATGGCATGGCCATGTCTAAAAAATGTGGGGCCGTCCATGCTTTTTGGGGCTTCCTCTTGGTCTCACTTTAAACCAAGGTGAAAATGGGGGCCCTCAAAAACCCGAAGCATGGTCTCCGCCACCCTCGTTGGCTCAGCGCCTGAGGAGCAACGTAGTAGGGCGTGCCCGCCTTCGTGGTCAAGACCTGTCGAATATCTAAGTGCCTGGTCTACGACAACTTCACAGCTTCGATTTCTCCAGGGGAACCCTCCAAACAGCCGGTTTCCCTTTTCTATAGCACCCCCCAAAAGGCTACCCTAAAAAAAACACCCGAACCAACTGACTCCGGCCTTTGGGGCTAAGGGCGCCTCCGGGGGGGGGGACGCTTTCTTGGGCGCTTCGCGAAACGCTGGCCTGGTCCATCTGGAACTCCCGTGCAAGGCCAAAGTCGATGAGCTTCAAGGTGCTCTTCTCAATGGCTTCCTGCGGGAAGGTTCTGAGCACGAGCCATAAAAGAAAGAAGAAAAAAAAGGAGAAAAAAACAGGTGGCGCGCTCGTCTTTTTTGGAGGCTACCGGGTACCACCCTCCCCTTTTGGATACGGTTTTGCAGGACAACCAAAGTAAAACTGCCAGTCCAACCGCAAGACAGGCTACTTTGTTCTTACTTGACACTATATCTGGGATATGTTTACCGAACCTGGCACATGCCAGAGGCTTGTCCATGGATGCTACATAAGCGGGCATCTACGGATTTTCCGGCTGAAACCTGACTATCTAGACGCGGAAAGCGAAAACCAGGGGCCCATCTGGGCAGCCACTCAGACGGCATACAGCTAAACCACCATGAAGCGACAAACACCCCTGAGAAAAAAGAAGAGGAAAGCAAGACTGTGCCAAAGGGCCATTTGGGATTTAAAGCAGCTGCCCTTTATTGCTCCTTGCTCAAGAATCCGCAAAGAGTCAGGGGCGATGACTTTGTATGGTTGGGATTGTCCCTTACCCACCTTCATCTCCCTTTGATTGGGTCAGCGAGGAGGCATGCCTGAAATGCAACTGCGGGGTGACAGGAACCTCAATCAATGGAAGCTTCAGTTTCAGCTGGGTCCATGAACATCCTCAATGGTACCCTGGAATTCGAAACTTCGAAAATTCAAGACCGCTGTCGCACCTCCCTGAGATTGAAAAGGGGTCCACCGGTCCCAAGTATCTGGTTCAAACGCGACCCCCTTTTGTCGGGACCCGCGCACCGAGGGAAACCAGCGGAAATTAGAATCCGCCTTCGTCGTGAAGATGAAGTTCTCCGGCTTCAGGTCGCGGTGGGTATAGTGACACCTTCACCGCTTGAAGCATTGGGTGTGAGCCATCTCATTAAAGCTCTGGAAACCCACCAGAACTTGGAAGTGAGTGTGCCCCTACTTCACTGAGTAGGGTGTGTCTCAAAAAGGACCCATTCCAAGAATGGGGGACTTCCATTAGGGACAGGTTCTCCCATGTCAAGGTGCTGGTGCATGTAGTAGATCGCTCGGAACATGTTCCTGAGATTCGGAATGGCGAAGCCGGCATGGGACTTTTCCAGGCCGTGACTTCTGCTTGCCCCACCAAAGCAAAAACTTGGCTTTGGACCCGACATGGTGGACATCATCTATTTACATAGGGGGCCTGTCCACCAAACGTGTAAGAGGGTATCCCCCATTAAGAACATTGGCCGCTTGCATTTGGTGGTCAGGGAGTGAAGTTCGCCCTTGGAAGGCTCGATTGGCCCTTTGCGTGGCATCCAATAAAGTGATGTCCAAGTGTCTGCATCAGCAATGCTGCCTGCGGGGGGCATCATGCAATCAGGTATCTGATAGAGTACACATGAGTAACAAGTGCATTGCGGCAAACTGAACAAATAGTAGGAAGCTTGGATGAAGCGCTCTCACTGCGGGTTCATAGGATACATGTCAGCTCTTACATTGCTGCATTCTTACAGCGCTTGCCAGCTGGGTGTTGAATAGGTGGAAATGGCAAGGAAAAAAAAGAAAAAAGAACGTTTTGGGGAAAGTAAAACACATGCTATTAAGCACGACAGGTTGTCACATGCAGTCTCGCCTGCTTCTCCGTGAGGTGACCATACTCGATGATCCGATCAAACAACTCTCCCCCAGTGCACAACTCCAACACCAGATAGATGTTACCTCGGCTGCAAGGGCCAGCCATGGGTAATCCACTTTCGGCTGGTGTGACTTGCGGTCAGAAATGCTCCAAAAAACCATGCCCAGAAAAAGAAGTAGCTGCGAGAAATTGAAGCTTCTCCTTGCCCAGGATGTGGCAAGAGTTGTTGGTTTGACAAGCTGCGGTGATCTTGGAAGGACTCGTAGAGCTTACAAATGTTCGGATGGTCTAGAATCTTCATGATCTGAATCTCCTGCGCGCATGATCGTCAGCTGCCAAAAAAGATGTGTTTCGCCCGATCAACACAAGCAAATCGGATCGCTGCCCACTGTTCCCAACCCTGATGGTCCTTTCTGAAAGCCTCAGGACCTTGGATGCGCATGCTAAGCATATGGGAAATGCGCCATATCCGGGAAGACCAAGTGAAAAGTAAACGCTGTTCGCGCAAATGCCTGAGCTCACACCCAAGGGCAGGGCTTTTCAAGGCTGTCTTGTTGATGGTCTTGATGGCTCGCATCGCTTTTGTTGCCTGTCAAAAACGTGTTGCACGGTGCCACATGCGTTACACTGATGAGGCTGGTTCAAACGAGCTGAGTCATCATACCCGGCCTTGTTTCGTGCTTTGCACACTGAGCCGTAGGATCCTTCTCCGATCTTTTTCTTGTCGATATCATAAAACTGCGTGATCTTGCCCTGGCCATCGTTCGCGCTTCACGTGAAGGCCCACAGCTCCCTTTTCAACGGCAGACTCAGCTTCCCACACAACTTGTGGCTTGGGGCCGGCGGTTTGGTGGTTGGGGGGTGGTTTCCCATTTACCCCCTACAAGAACGAGGGGTTCAAATCCAAATCCACACCGTGCCACTGCGTATGAAGGCATCTCTCTCTCTCTCTCTCTCTCAAGTGAGGCTCGCAGCCCAACACAAATTAGTCTCCACACAGTCCAAAGTGACATCCTCGAGAACTATCTACATATATATATATATTAAGAGAGAGAGAGAGAGAGATACATGCGAACCCGGTTCCCCCAAGCTGCAAAAAAAGAACAGCTTTCTTGGGGACCCAAATTGTCCAGTGTTTTGTCGCGGAAGTTCCCCCAGGCCCAGAATGCAAAAAGACAGACTGCTTTTTTGGCGGGACCCAATCACAAGACTGAAACAAAATCCTGCCTGATTGTCAACGATCAGGCTCGAGGAGGCGAAACCTCGGCGCGTGAAGCCCCGATCTTTCGCTGAGTAAGCAGTAGCGGTGGGCGGCGCACTTCCTATTTAGGGACCGTTTCTTGGTGGTCATGGCGAGACACGGGCCCTTTGTTTATTTGGGGAGGGTTGTTTTTCCCCCGCCCCCAAACGCAACCAAATGAGATGAAACCGTTGCAGAAGGAACCTTCGAGGGCAGCAAGAAAAACCTCCAAACCACTTTGGAGGAAGCCAACTCAAAGCAAAATTGGTGAATTACTCCCCCCAAGCAGGGTAGTTTAATAAAGCCATCCTACAGAGGGTGACCCTGAATATTGATCATTACTCAGTTGCTTGGCGTAAAAAAAAGAAGAAAAGATGCGCCTGTAGTGCTTTTCTTGCCCATGCCGCCATCCTGGCGAAAGCGACGTGCTGTAGGCAGCGTTGCCAAGTCGCAGTTGACCTAAAATGGGCCTCTTCTCTAAGGGTATCCGGTGCGTTCTCCTTAAAGGGAAATGAGGTCGCAACCAAAACCCGGCAAAAAAACAAAAAATACAGCTTAGGGGTCGTTTTTTCGGGCTGGCACAAACTTTTTGACCAGTTGTTGAAATTGAAGGGTCTCCCCCAAACCATGTAAGGAATCGAAAGGGCGATTGCACTCACTGGGGCTGTCTCCGTGGTTTGAAAGGTTCAAATGGGTCTTTCCAAGATTGATGCAACCAAAAAGGGGTCCCCTCAAAAAAGACACACCCAAATCATGTTTTGATGTCACCGGAACACGACTGTCAATGAAGTTCGTCTTTTGCTATGTCTTCTGACCCATGATTCGGAATGTTTCTTGATCTCAATAAGTGTGCGTGCCCTACTTGAGAGAGCTGTTATAGTTGCTATACATGCCTGCATACATATCTTTGATACGTGAATCTGCACACATGTTTGCAATTTGCGATCACCGAGTATCCTTCTCATCCCCAAACCTCCAGTAGCCATACGGAAAAAATGGTGGTTGCTTTTCCCAAAGAATGCCTTTCGAAAGGTCAGCATAGGAGGTGTGGCATTCAACGATCCAACGGCTCCGAGTCCTTCTTGGACGCTGAAGCACCGCAACCCATGGCTACAACTAAGACCCTGGGCCTACAGGCAGAGCGAAAAGCAGAAAACCACACGAGGCCTGCAGAATAATAGAAATGCAACCAAATGAACAAGGCACGCAGAGGCCCAGGGCAACACAGCGATTAGTGTCTTGAGCCCTGGCTGCAGTTTCGAAACGAGTCCGAAGATTCCTGCATCTCCAGCCATAGCAGGCGCATATGTTTTGATCCAGCTAAACATATTGTGGACCCGGACAGATTTTAGCTGTTCCTCAGGTGGCTGGGAGGCCAACTGCAACCACCGTGCAATGTGAGATCCCCTGCAAAAAGTGTTTCAGTGCTGGGTCAACTGAAAACTCCCCCTAAACCCTAACAACCGGAAGCCGCAACGCTTGGGTCAGCGGCCCACTGTGGCGGCGTTGGCAAACGCGGCCGCCTCACAAAGCCTCGGAGCTCCCCGTTGGGATAGGAACTGCCTAAAACTAAGGCCAGAATGGGATGGTTTTTGCTTCTCATTTTGCGGAGACCCATTTTGGAACGTTTTCAAAGGGAAACAACAGGATAGCCACCACTTCTTCAAGTCCAAATCCTATTTTGAGACCATTCCATACTGCAGCTGACCAGCTGAATTGACTGGCCAGCAGCCTTAAAGTGATTTTGAGAAACCTGCCACAAAATCCAAAGTTTGCCGATTCAACCGGTAAAGCAAGAACCAAGTAGTAGCCGAAAGAGCAGTCGGTTCTGCAGAGTTTCCGGCCCTTGAAGTCTTCGTCAAACTCCTTCAGAATGTCGCTCATGGCTTTGTCCTGTCGCTCTGCACACTCCGCCAAGCAGGAAGGAGCACCAACGTGCACAGTCAACAGAGGCCAGGCACTGACTTCACCAGAGTGGAAATCAGGGCTTTCTGAGCCCCATTCCATGCATTTAGCCAGCACACAAAGTAACTGCCTGAAGTCGGACATGCAGTCGCACACCTCGCCTCAGTGGGTGATCTGGAAGCGTAAGAGAGCTCGAAGTGATCTGAGTCCAGTCCAGAGGGCTCGCTGCCAAGAGAAGACTTCCCTCGCGCCTCTAGCGGCTGACTCTGCTTCCGAAGTCGTCTTGGACCTCCCGAGCGGAACCCCTGGGTTCAAGTGGATACGGTTTCTTCTGGAGTTGGTACCCCTTTTTGGGCGGCTTCAAAGGGGACAACGGTTGCGCCAATTTGAGGGAAGGTCCAAATCCCAAAACACGGCGCAAGCCCCGCAACCCCTGCTTTGAGTCTTCCTCCGCGGCGCCTCCGGAACTTCCTCTGCTGCAGCCTCACCACACAGCAGAAAGCCCATCGTCGCTCATGACTCGCAAGGCCCGGGCATGCGGGAGGCTGCCTCAGCGAAACACAAAAAGAGACGAATCGAGGTCGTTTCTGGCGGGCATGCCCTTCAGTTGTAAAAGGCCCACATCCAAATGTCTGCGAGCAAGATTTAAGAGATTTACTGTCCGCAAGTGTTCGTCTTGTCCACTTACCCAGCGGGCAACTCATTTTGGGAGAATCAGATTGCCACGTTTGAGCCGCACCCAAATGGGAGCTGATCTTTTTGGCCCACGCTCAGCTTTGAACTCCGCGCCTCTGCATGCACCGCCGGCACCGCGACCGTCCGCCGCCGCCGCCCTGCGAAGCGGTTTGCACCCAAACGGCCAAAAAGCGAAGCAGCACTTGCGGCACGTGAGTAATCAAATTCAATCGGTATCCGAAATGGTCTACTCAGAACCATGTAAAGAAACTAGAAAGGCGGCTGCACCCATTTCTGGTTGGGATTCTCCCTTAGTAACATTCATCTAGCCGGGTTTTGATTGTGGCTCACAATGGGGGAAGGGGTCTCTCTGTTTTTTCGGTGGGGCAGCACCGAGTTCCTCCGTCGTTCTCCAGAACCCGCCTTGCTTGACACGCCAACCAGCATCCAGCCATGCTTCGTCCAATGCCTCAAGGCTCGGGGTGAATTCCAAATACGGACACGAATAAAGCACCTGCAAAAGCTTCGCGACACGCAAACTTCACATGCGATGTCCATCGGTCAAACTGCCCTGTTTGGTTTGGGCAGTGCAAAGTATCGTTCACCAAGGACTCAGAGCGCATCGACGTCTGACCGTCCTAAAGTTGAAACCTGCCATTCGGCCAACCAGTCCCCAGAGGACATACGCCCATTGGCTCCGCCCGCCTTGGTCTGCATCCACGTCAGCTAGGACTCTGTTGAGTCGGTCGGCATCATCTTTTCAGGGTACCCTTCTTGTGGGTCTTTCAAGGGAAGCCAAAGTGAAACCAACACACTTTCGGGGCTCCCTATTTTGAGAATAGGGAAACACCCATATTGAATGTAGGAAACCTGAGGCTCTTGTGACATGGAAAAAGCTGCCCTAGGACCATCCGTGGCCATCTGGTAAGGCCCGTCTTGAGCCATGGCTATGCAGCGCCGAATGCTGCGCAAGCTATGTGCACAAACAATTGGATCGCCAAGACAATTCATGGTGCCTGCAAATGGACCAAATCCATCCTGCACCAGTTTGGATGGATGAACTATGAATATTGGGGGATAAACACCAAGCCCAACCAATACCCGTCGATGTGCGCACGTCCATGTTCCAAAAGGCCGGGCCTGACTGAGACTCCCCATCCGACTTCCAAAGTTGAACTCGGCAGTGGAGACGGGCCTCACGAACTTCAATCAAGACATATGTGCAAAACTAGGGACGCTTTCCATGGCTTCTTGAGCTCCTGAAAACAACCCACCCCAAAAATGGCACCCTCAACAAAATACGTGCCCACGTGCCAGACTCCAAATGCGACTCAGAATGTGGAAAGGAGGGGAAAGACATACCGCGAGGGCTTCAGCAGCCTCCTTTGGGTTTCCCTTTACTGGACTCCTCAAATCCCCTGCTAAAAGTTTAGCTTTTAGTGGGTTACATGAAATCCCCCACTAAACAACCAAAAGCATGATCAAACAAAACACTAAGGAACCGGATGGCTGGGAACCACCGAGCAAAACATTCGGTCTGGTTCTTTACACCGAATGGCAGCAAGCTTCTTACAATCAGGTCCCGGCCCAGCCGGCCAACCCGTGGCCACGGAGTGTGGCCACACGTTGAAAGTGCAAACCTCCGCATCCGGCAGAAACGCGACGTGGAACAAAAGTCTTCGGTAGACCCCTGAGTAAGGGAACATATTCCTTACTCATAACTCAGGCCCCCTGATTTTGTAAGGAACCAAAGAAACTTGGCAAGCGCAGTAGTGGCTACAAAAAGTTGAGGAGAAGCGTCTGAGAGCACGGAGTTGTTTCAAGGAAGTACGGCCAAAGAGATGACTAAAATGACTAAGCCCTTGAATAAGACATCTCCAAGAATCTGATGAACAACATTCAAGTCTTGCACATTCGGATGCCATCGGCCAAGTGCCCCAAAAACCACACGCAAAGGCCCCTGCCTGATGCTTCAAGTCAACAGCCTTGGCCCAAGGCGCAAGAGCGTCTTGATGGTTCTCGGTGTGGAGTGAGTGAATGACCCCGAACTGAACCATCCCTTGATGTCTCCCAGGAAAACCTCTAGGTTCATTCCCAAAACCATCAGAATGTCCTGAGGAACTACCCTTCGCTAACATGGAGCCCACCAGAGAAATGGCTCAAGGAAAATCGTCCAAAACTAGCTCTCTTCCAGCATGCCTGAAGCTGCGAAGTGTCTTTCAATGCCAGGTTGGGTTTGCAATACGAAAGCAGAACAACATGCTACCTGGCGTTCACAAGGGTTGCCTCGAGGCTTTATTGTTGCGGAGTTTTACGTCTGTGCCTTGGGAGTGGTTGCTTTGAGGTTTGGAATGTTGGACATCTGAGCATCACAATATGTCCGCATCTGGGATTCCCAGTGTTTCCACAGATGGCAGCCGATCTGGAATCCACAATCGCCTCAAAGACAAACAACCCCCTCGCAGTAGCAAGACTTGTTCAAGCCACTCTGAGCCGCTGCGCCATCTCCACCAGATCCCCAAGTTCCAGGGGCTTCACAAAAGCCTCTGCCCTGGCGAAGCGAGCGCTTTGGTGAGTCTATTCAGCTTCCCCCCACTTTGGAAGCTAGAGGGGTAGCTTTTTGTTGAACCAGAGGTTCAACTCAAAGTCACCAATCCAAACCACCAGTTGAGGGTTGATACGCAAACCGGGGTGCTGCTGGGCTTTTCGGGGGCTAAGGTTGGGAATGTTGTTAACATCATGTGCCAACACATGCCGCAAGCATAAGAACTGCTCAGCGTGCGGACCCCGACAAAGACCATTCGTCAACAAGTGGTACTGGCGCGTGTCGTTACATGGTGTAGATGCTGGCGTAAGTCCCGGTGCAATACGAAAGCTGAAGCACGTCGGAAACAGATTTCAAGCGCTCACAGCGCAGAGGTGGCAACAAATACTGGTTGCGGAGCCGCTTCTGGCATTGCCGTGCGTACGCCAGCATAAGGCGCAGTGCTGCTTGAAATATGATGCTGCTGGAGTGACTGATTTGTTCTTTGCACGTCGCTGCGGCCTGCTTCATCTCTTCATTGAGCATGAGGGTGGTTAATGATGGAAATGCTGGGTACCTTGCGGCACTGGTTAAGGTGATGAGTGATTTCTGCTTGGGATGCTGGTGGTGGTTCGTGCAAATTGCAGAGTATCGGCTTCGGCCATGGCTGCAGTGAGTGTGCAAGAGATGCGTGCTAATTGAACTTGGTGTTCTTGGGGCCTGGTGATGCCGTTACAAATGGTGTGGTAAGTACTTGACAATAAGCAAACCTTGTCCACCTGCAAGTATGTAGGGTCGATGGCTGGTCTAATCATTCATGCAATGTCAATGATAGCTATCTCTCCCGGCCACAAAAAATCCCCCGCAAACTCAGGTGCATGTTTGAAGCGAAACAGAGAAACATGAGGTCTTTTCTGAGGGTGCCCCTTTCAGGGTTTGGTTTCAAGGGAAACCAAAAGAGACAAAACGGAAATATATTGGGAGGGGGGGTACCTCCAAAAAGATCCCCAGACGAACCCAAAGGCACGTGGGTTTCCAAAGAGCGGAGCGGTCGCGCCTCTCAATCTCGGAGAAGGCCCGCATACAAATGCGGCCCCGTTGGTTGACCTTCCAATGGTCGCTATGCAACCCCTGGTATGGCAAAAAACTGCGTTCTTTGCAGCCCCCTACACATGAACAGATCCAGCAAACCAAATCAAAAAAAAGTGCCAAGAACAGACAAGATTAAGGTGAGTTGCTCATCTTTTGATCGGCTCACCCACTGCCTTCTGTCTCACACGTGCGTAATTGACGAAAGCTGCCAAATTCTGAGGCAAATGCAAAAATGGAGACTATCCTCTGGATGTTTTTTGCACCTCAGCAGATTGCCGGTGCCGATCCAGCGGTCAAAGCTTGACACCTCTGGGTGACCAATTCGTTCAATGAGTTCGGTCACAAATGGTTGCTTTTGACCCCTCTTCAAAAGGTTTAACACTTTGCGGGTTTAAGGGAAAACCCCCTGATTTCCCTTAAAAGGTTAAAGTCTAAAGATCCAACCCCAATAGCAATCAAGCTTCGGTTAGATTGTCCTGTGCCAGTCTTCTGGAACCCATTCGAACCCCTTCTGAGCTCCGGACAGGGCAAGCGCTGAGAAAATACGAAACCTACTCCGTCTGCACGGCTGAGCTCACCAGCTGTGAACTGGCGTCAAGGACCCACTCAACCAACGCGCAACGCCGCAATGTGGGTGTCTCCTTTTGGTGGCCCGATTGTTTTGGTTGACCTCCCCTCTGTTTTTGTTGGCCCACAAACCACAAGGAAAAATGGAGGTTGAAAAACAGGCTCGAGGTTGTCTTCTTTTAGTGCCGAACGTCTCGTGTCCAGGCAAACCCTGCCTGTACAAGGTATCTCTGGACGCCGTCTTGATGTACTTGCGATTCTGACACAACTGACAGCCTCCCTTCGTAGCCAACCTGCGCGGCTACGAGGAAAAAAAGGAAAGGAAGACACGTGTCCGGTTGCCATGGAACTAAGAGAAATTCAGCTTCCCTCTAGTTGGTGGTTTGGAGCCCGGTGGTTTGGCGGAGGGTAGCTTCCCTTTAACCCTCTACAAGAACCAGGGCTTCAAATCCACATCCAAACCACCAATCCAAACCGCCAATCCAAACCACCAATCCGAACCACCACCTAAGAGTTACCTGACAAATCGTCTGAGGATAGTCAGGGAAGCCCCCAGTTCCATGGCAACGGACGGTACTGCCGACTTCGCCTTCGTGAACTGCCGAAAGTCTCCACGGACCATGCCCATACCTTTGGTCTCCTGCAAGCAGATCAGATCCCCAGCCGCCCTCCGGAAACCCCGGGCTTCCCCTCCTTTTAAATCCCTGAAAGATGCCCACAGAATCTCAGAGACCCCATAGCCTTCAGCTGGGGGAAAAAAACACATCTCCTGATGGAAGCTGTGCCTGTTGCCGATGGGAGGACTCAGCCTAGCAAAGCTCAAGCGCCCCACCAGCAAGAACCCCAAAGAACTTCAAAACTCCGATTCGGCCATCTGAGTTTGGATGTGGGTCAAAAGTAGGTACCTAAAATGGAATCCTGGTAAATGAGAACATGGACCAAAGCCTTGATTTTGACCCATACCCATTTGGTGCTGCGGATTTCGTTGAATTGCCAAGCGCCGCACTGGTGTGCCGGGAAGTCCTGACTCACTCACGAGAGAGGAGAGTTGCTCACAAGAACACGCAATATTTTACGTGTTTCTCCAATATGGGTGTTCTCTAAGCGGATCGCACAAAAAAAAAAAACGTTTTGCTTCTCCTTTTTGTTCAACCACCAAAAACGGCTACCCTCCAACAAGACACACCCATATGCGATAAAGGAGAGGTATCCCTGCAATTTGGATACTTTGGGTGGTCCCCCCAATGTCCTCCCCAAACAAACAGGGACCAATTATTGTGTCGGCCGCTCATGTGCCGCTGCCTGGTCCTCCCTCTGAGCCCGCCCTCGTTCCTGCGGAAATCTGGGAAGGCAGTTGGTGGTTCATCCACTGCCACAATCATTTGTCAGGTAGTCAGAGATCTTGTGGGAGACTCCACAACAACTCCCTGTTGAAGACAAGGAATCAGAAAAAGAACTGCTACTCTCCACTGCTTAGTATAAGCAGTACGCAGGAGGAGCCGTGTCAGTGCTGCAAGCTCAGCAAGGGCCCATTGTCAATCAATCAAAGCCACATTCGATCCGCGCCTGGGGGCCCTGATTAGCAGAGAGGAAAGCTGA